TTGTTTTGTAAAAGGTGGCCAGGTAAACCCACTTGTGTGTTCCTGGGGGTGCCAGTTTTCCCACTTGTGTTTCCCGGGTTTTGGTCCCAGTTTTAACCCTAATTGTGTGTACCTGGTGTGCCAGTGTCCCCACTTGTGTGTCCTGGTGTGCCAGTGTCCCCCACTTTTTTTTGGTGTACCTGAGGTGCCAGTGTCCCTACTTGTGTGAAACCCTGAGTGGGCCGTGTCCCCACTTGTGTTTTACCTGAGTGTGCCAGTTTTCCCCACTTTTTGTGTACCTGAGTGTCCCGGATATTGTACCTTCCCCCCCCCCCTTTTGTGTCCTCAGTTTTTGCCGGGTGTCCCCACTTGTGTGTCCCTGAGTGTCCCAGTGTACCCCTTGTGTGTACCTGAGTGTGCCAGTGTACCTACTTGTGGTACCTGAGGGGTGCCCATTGTCCCCAATTGTGTTACCTGAGTGTGCCGTGTACCTATTTGGTGTGTACCTGGTGTCCCAGTTACCATTGTGGGTACCTGAGTGTGCCAGTGTCCCTTTTCCTTGGTGTACCTGAGTGTGCCAGTGTCCCTTTAACTTGGTGAAAACGGGAGTGTCCCCAGTGTACCTACTTGTGTGTACCTGAGTGTGCCAGTTTTACCTCTTCTTTTGGACCTGAGTTTGCAGTGAAACCTACTTGGGGTGAAACCTGAGTGGTGGACGCGGTCACCCATTCGGGTTTTTAATTTTAAACTTTTAAAAGAAATAATTTTTTACTACTATATTTACTACTATTTATATTTACTACTAGTAGTAGTAGTAGTAGAAAGTCCCACTGCTATATACTACTACTATTTACAATTTACAGCTTTATATACTACTACTGTTCTACTCCAAAATGTTACTACTATACTACTACTATACTACGGGCTACTACTATTTACTACTACTACTGCTACTACTACTATGTTACTACTAACTACTACTTTTACAATACTACTACTACTATACTTCTTTATACTACTGTTACTACTACTACTACTACTACTACTAATACTACTGCTACTACTACTATTTCTGCTACTATACTACTACTACTATTGCTACTACTACTACTACTACTACTACTACTATACTACTGCTACTACTACTACTACTACTACTACTACTACTACTACTACTACTACTATTATACTATACTACTACTACTACTACTACTGCTACTACTACTACTATACTACTACTACTACTGCTACTACTACTACTACTACTACAAATTTACTACTGCTTCTACTACTACTACTACTACTACTACTACGCTACTACTATTTTCACTACTACTATTACTACTACTACTACTGCTACTGCTACTACTACTACTACTTCTACTACTACTACTACTACTACTACTACTACTACTACTACTGTTACTACTACTACTACTACTACTACCTACTGCTACTACTACTACTATACAAACTAACTACTACTACTTTTTAAATACTACTACTACTATTACTACTACTGATACTACTACACTACTGCTACTGTACAAATTTACTATTAATACTACTGCTACTACTACTACTACTACTACTGCTACTACTACTACTACTACTACTACTACTACTACTACTGTTACTACTACTACTACTATTACTACTACTGATACTACTACTACTACTGCTACTGCTACTAATACTACTACTACTACTGCTACTACTACTACTACTACTACTGCTACTACTGATACTACTACTTCTATTACTACTACTACTATTACTACTACTACCACTACTGCTACTACTACTTCTACTTCTACTACTACTACTACTACCACTACCATTGCTACTACTACTACTATTACCACTTCCACCACTACTACTATTACTACTACTACTGCTACTTCTACTACTACTACCACTACCACTACTACTACTACTACCACTACCATCACTGTACTACTACTCCCAAACTACTACTACTGCTGCTACTGCAAACTACTACTACCACTACCACTACTACTACTACTACTACTACTTCTATTTACTACTACTACTTACTACTACTACTGCTACTACTACTACTACTACTACTACTAATACTACTGCTTCTACTACTACTACTACTACTACTACTGCTACTACTACTACTTCTACTACTACTATTACTACTACTACTACTGCTACTGCTACTACTACTACTACTTCTACTACTACTACAACTACTACTACTACTACTGCTGTTACTACTAACTATACTACTACTACACTACTGCTACTACTACTACTACTACTACTACTACTACTACTACTACTACTACTACTACTGTTACTACTACTACTACTATTACTACTACTGATACTACTACTACTACTGCTACTGCTACTAAACTACTACTACTACTACTGCTACTACTACTCCCTACTACTACTACGCTACTACTGATATACTACTTCTATTACTACTAACTACTATTACTACTACTACCACTACTGCTACTACTACTTCTACTTCTACTACTACTACTACTACCACTACCATTGCTACTACTACTACTATTACCACTTCCACCACTACTACTATTACTACTACTACTGCTACTTCTACTACTACTACCACTACCACTACTACTACTACTACTACCACTACCATCACTGCTACTACTACTACTACTACTACTACTGCTGCTACTGCTACTACTACTACCACTACCACTACTACTACTACTACTACTACTACTACTACTAATAATAATAATAATAATAATAATAATAATAATAATAATGATAATTATAATAAATAACAATAACAGTACTATTACTATTGTTAATATTATAAATAATAATAATAATAATAATAATAATAATAATAATAATAATAACAATAATAATAATAATAATAATAATAATAATAATAATAATAATAATTTCGATGGTAATAATTAATAATGCTTCTAATAATGCAGATAATTACGTCTTTAGAAAAATGTAAAGTCTCCCTTGAAATGTGTCTTGTCGCTGGTGAAGGGCTCTTGTTCCAAGGAATTGGGGCTATGCTTCCTCTTCCTCGGATCAAAACTCGATTACCCAGCCTCTGTTTTATTCAATACAGGTTTGACTAAAACGTGTTCGGTTTCGTCTTAACGTGATGAGTCTAAATACTTAATATTCATCTCCAAATTTAATGGAGTGTAATGTCTTACGATAAATTGTTTAAGATTAAAATGGTATAAAATACCGACAGGTTGTTAGGTAAGACACATATGCAACAGTTAGGTATCTTTATTATGAAACGTTTCGCCTACACAGTAGGCTTCTTCAGTCGAGTACAGAAAAGTTGATAGAAGCAGAAGATACTTGAAGACGATGTAATCAGTCCATCACCCTTAAAGTTTTGAGGTGGTCAGTCCCTCAGTCTGGAGAAGAGCATTGTTCCATAGTAGGCGAAACGTTTCATAATAAAGATACCTAACTGTTGCATATGTGTCTTACCTAACAAATTGTTTAAGAAATACATCCTGACGAGGTGTGTGTGTGTGTATGTGTGTGTGTGTGTGTGTGTGTGTGTGTGTGTGTGTGTGTGTGTATGTGTGTGTGTGTGTGTGTGTGTGTGTGTGTGTGTATGTGTGTGTGTGTGTGTGTGTGTGTGTGTGTGTATGTGTGTGTGTATGTGTGTGTGTGTGTGTGTGTGTGTGTGTGTGTGTGTGTGTGTGTGTGTGTGTGTGTGTGTGTGTGTGTGTGTGTGTGTATGTGTGTGTGTGTGTGTGTGTGTGTGTGTGTGTGTGTGTGTGTGTGTGTGTGTGTGTGTGTGTGTGTCTATGGATGAGAAGGGCATGAGACCTCAACATCCACCTCCCGACAAGGTGGGTACGTGAAAACTATTGTTATTACCAGTAATGTTGTTGTTATTGCTATTATTATTATTATTATTATTAGTTATTGCTTTCATTATTATTATTATTATTATTATTATTATTATTATTATTATTATTATTATTATTATTTTTATTATTATTATTATTATTATTATTATTATTCCTTTATAGTTATATGAAGGCTAGAAGTTATTAGTGGTTATACTTTGTAAGAAATTTCTAACTAACCTTTTCACATTTATAAATTATTTTATGAGAAATTAAAACGGCAATAGCGAGTAGTTAAAGAGGCAGTAGCGAGTAGTTAAAGAGGCAGTAGCGAGTAGTTAAAGAGGCAGTAGCGAGTAGTTAAAGAGGCAGTAGCGAGTAGTTAAAGAGGCAGTAGCGAGTAGTTAAAGAGGCAGTAGCGAGTAGTTAAAGAGGCAGTAGCGAGTAGTTAAAGAGGCAGTAGCGAGTAGTTAAAGAGGCAGTAGCGAGTAGTTAAAGAGGCAGTAGCGAGTAGTTAAAGAGGCAGTAGCGAGTAGTTAAAGAGGCAGTAGCGAGTAGTTAAAGAGGCAGTAGCGAGTAATTAAAGAGGCAATAGCGAGTAGTTAAAGAGGCAGTAGCGAGTAGTTAAAGAGGCAGTAGCGAGTAGTTAAAGAGGCAGTAGCGAGTAGTTAAAGAGGCAGTAGCGAGTAGTTAAAGAGGCAGTAGCGAGTAGTTAAAGAGGCAGTAGCGAGTAGTTAAAGAGGCAGTAGCGAGTAGTTAAAGAGGCAGTAGCGAGTAATTAAAGAGGCAGTAGCGAGTAGTTAAAGAGGCAGTAGCGAGTAGTTAAAGAGGCAGTAGCGAGTAGTTAAAGAGGCAGTAGCGAGTAGTTAAAGAGGCAGTAGCGAGTAGTTAAAGAGGCAGTAGCGAGTAATTAAAGAGGCAGTAGCGAGTAGTTAAAGAGGCAGTAGCGAGTAGTTAAAGAGGCAGTAGCGAGTAGTTAAAGAGGCAGTAGCGAGTAGTTAAAGAGGCAGTAGCGAGTAGTTAAAGAGGCAGTTGCGAGTAGTTAAAGAGGCAGTAGCGAGTAGTTAAAGAGGCAGTAGCGAGTAATTAAAGAGGCATCACAGTGTAATATTTAAAGTAACTAAAATTAATACCAGGCAATTTCTCTTTTCCCCTGGACAGGTGAGCATCCTGCAGCCATGCAGCGAGGCACTAACTCTGGCAATGGTGGCACTAGTGCCGTGGCTGCAGCGCCATCCTCTTCATCCTCCTCTTCTTCCTCTTCCTCCTCGTCCTCGTGCACCTACAGCGCCTTGGTCTGTAGCGGCCTGGCGGTAGCGCTGCTGGCGACTCTCTCCTGGATGCTGCGAGTTACCACGTGACCGTACGAGTGAGAGATCTTCCTCCCCTTCCCCCTTTCTCTCTCGTGCTCCCACGCTCACAACTTGCAGGGGCCAGACCACGCCCACTTCCTGAAAATGCAAGCCACGCCCGTATCTAGGAAGGACCAGACCACGCCCACCTCGTGAAGACCCAGGCCACGCCTACCTCCTGAACATACGGGCCACGCCCACGTCTCGAAAGCACTAGCCACGCCCACTTCCTGCTGGTACATGTCACGCCCATTTTCTGAAGGCGTAGGTCATACCTACAGTGAATTCCATGTCTAAAATAAACACACACACACACACACACACACACACACACACACACACACACACACACACACCACACACACACACACACACACACACACACACACACACACACACACACACACACACACACACACACACACACACACACACACACACACACACACACACACACACACACACACACACATATACACACTCACACACTTACACATACATGCACACACACACACACACACACACACACACACACATATACACTCACACACATAGTGTTTCTCTGACAACATCAGCAGGCCTATTGTACAAGCCAAGGCCCTGCTAGAAACATCAATAGGTCTAAATTATAGATGAGGGTCCTGCTGAAAAATTGCTGTCTAACAGATACTGAGAGACTGTTATTAATATCTCTCCTCCGCAAACGGCCACTGAAGCAACCCATGGCTGGTAGGGTGACACAGCGAGGTGACACGGCTTAAATGGAGGTGACACCTGTAGTTTAAACGGGTCCTGGAAGGCAGGTGGTCACGTTTCAGCCACTAACTCTTCATCCTTCTTCAGCAAGATCTCTTAGCTGGTTTAGATATCTGCGGGAGGTTCACTGCAGAAGGACTTCGCAGTTGCGAAGTCCTTCTGCAGAGGTACTCTGCTGGTCTAAACGTCATCAAGAAAGCCCCTCATCTGGTCTAAACATCTTCGGGAGAATCACTCTGCTGGTCTAAACGTCTTCAGGAGAACCACTCAGCTGGTCCCAACGCCTTCAGGAGATCCCACGTAGCTAGTAGTGAGCACTGGTCTCAGGCAATAGTGATGGGAAGATTAAACCATCCAAAAATACCTTAACATCCCCCCCCCCCTGTCCCCCAGAAAAAAAAAGCTTTCTGTGACAGAATGCCAGAGAACAAAGCATAAAAACTGAAAGCGGAATTCTGCAAAGTTAAAAAAAAAAAATCAGGATTTGGAGATTGCTTCAGTGAGGCGTGAACACCTGGGAAAAAGGTGTTTCACAAGGGCGGTGCTATGGTCGAGGCCACGGTGACCTTGCCTGATCTTTGGTGACCTCGATGGCGTGCTGTGAGGGTTCACTAAAGCCCTAGGTTCCTCTCGTGGCCTGGTCTTGATAAGCGGAGTGACCTTCAGAAAACCAGCAAATGACTTTTCGTTAGCAAAGAGTATTATCATTCTGTCATTTGGAAAGTTGTGTGTGCGTGTAACCTTCGTTGACCTAGCAGGAGCATATGGTGATTCAGGTGACCTGGAGGACCTTGTCAGGGAGCTACCTACTGCCTGTAAGGTGATCTGACAGGCCTCGGAGTCCAGCAGACCTGGTGTACCTGCTGCCTATCTGGCAGCATGACCTGCTGACCTGGGCTATCTGCTGCCGCTGACCTTTCTACCAAAAAATAATACAAGTACCTTTTTACTCCTTCGAGCAGAGACGAGGTGTATATAGTATATTTTGTAAAGGAGAGTGTTTTTATTGTGTACAGTTGTATAAAGATTATGAAACCTTAAATGTGGCCACTGAGAACCTCCGTTAAACCTCCTGAACTCTCACCCTCTCCGTTGAACCTCCCGACCTCTCACCCCCCCATCTGTTGACTCTTCCTAACCTCTCACCACCCCTCCGTTGAACCTCCCGACCTCTCACCACCCCTTGAACCTCCCAACCTCTCACTACCCCTCCGTTGAACCTCCCGAATCCCCCCCTTCCTCTTTTGACTCCTGACCTCTCCATTTATCCCCTCTGACCCTTCACCCTAACCATTATTGACAGATTCCCCTCTCGCATGGAAAGGGGTGGGGCGTAGGGGTTGCTTCCCCCTCGGTCTCCCATTCCCGATCAAAGATGGGTGCTGGATAGTCCCACCTCCCATTCCTCTCCCGACCAACAGCTGACAGGACATTCCCCGACCAAAGATGGGTTGTTGATCAACCCTATAGATTGCTGTCCAGTCTACCGCTGTTCCCGACCAACAGTAATCAACGGGCTACTGCCCTACTCTTCTACTTTGCTCTACTACACTCTACTACTATTCTATTCTACTCTTCTACTATACTCTTCTCATCTTCTTTTCTACTCTTCTCTTCAACTATTCTCTTCTCTTCTAATCTTCTCTTGTACTCTACTCTTTTCTTCTACTTTTCTCTTCTACTCTTCTATTCTGCTCTTCTGTTCTACTTTGCTCTTCTACTCTACTACTCTTTTCTTAAACTCCACTCTTCAACTCTATTCTACTACTCTTCAACTTTATTTTACTCTTCTCTTCTACTCTTTCTACTCTTCTCTTCTACTCTTTCTACTCTTCTCTTCTACTCTTTCTACTCTTCTCTTCTACTCTTTCTACTCTTCTCTTCTACTCTTTCTACTCTTCTCTTCTACTCTTTCTGCTCTTCTCTTCTACTCTTTCTACTCTTCTCTTCTACTCTTTCTACTCTTCTCTTCTACTCTTTCTACTCTTCTCTTCTACTCTTTCTACTCTTCTCTTCTACTCTTTCTACTCTTCTCTTCTACTCTTTCTACTCTTCTCTTCTAATCTTCTCTTCTACTAACACAATACCGCTGAAAATATTGTAAAATTGTTCCAGCCACAATCCTAGGCTGGAACAGTTCACAGTTCATTCACACAGATAGACATGTTAAAAGACCTTTCGGTCGGGTCTAGGACCGTCATCAAGTCACAGGAGGGAGTGGAACGTCCACTAGTGTTTCGACTCTCAACCTTGATTTAACTCTTAGTTATCAGTTAGTTAATGCTGCTAACATGTACTTCCAGACATGAACAAGGGCACCTGGCATCAACAAGGGCACCTAACATGAACAAGGGCACCTGGCATCAACAAGGGCACCTAACATGAACAAGGGCACCTGGCATCAACAAGGGCACCTAACATGAACAAGGGCACCTGGCATCAACAAGGGCACCTAACATGAACAAGGGCACCTAACATGAACAAGGACACCTAACATGAACAAGGGCACCTAACATGAACAAGGACACCTGACATGAACAAGGACACCTGACATGAAAAAGGACACCTAACATGAACAAGGACACCTAACATGAACAAGGACACCTGACATGAACAAGGACACCTGACATGAACAAGGACACCTGATATTAACAAGGACACCTGATATGAACAAGGACACCTGACATGAGCAAGGACACCTGATATGAACAAGGACACCTGACATGAACAAGAACACCTGACATGAACAAGGACACCTGACATGAACAAGAACACCTGACATGAACAAGGACACCTGACATGAACAAGAACACCTGACATGAACAAGGACACCTGACATGAACAAGAACACCTGACATGAACAAGGACACCTGACATGAACAAGGACACCTGACATGAACAAGAACACCTGACATGAACAAGGACACCTGACATGAACAAGGACACCTGACATGAACAAGGACACCTGACATGAACAAGGACACCTGACATGAACAAGAACACCTGACATGAACAAGGACACCTGACATGAACAAGGACACCTGACATGAACAAGGACACCTGACATGAGCAAGGACACCTGATATGAACAAGGACACCTGACATGAGCAAGGACACCTGATATGAACAAGGACACCTGACATGAACAAGAACACCTGACATGAACAAGGACACCTGACATGAGCAAGGACACCTGATATGAACAAGGACACCTGACATGAACAAGGACACCTGACATGAACAAGGACACCTGACATGAACAAGAACACCTGACATGAACAAGGACACCTGACATGAACAAGGACACCTGACATGAACAAGGACACCTGACATGAACAAGAACACCTGACATGAACAAGGACACCTGACATGAACAAGGACACCTGACATGAACAATTACACCTGACATGAACAAGGACACCTGACATGAACAAGGACACCTGACATGAACAAGAACACCTGACATGAACAAGGACACCTGACATGAACAAGGACACCTGACATGAACAAGGACACCTGACATGAACAAGGACACCTGACATGAACAAGGACACCTGACATGAACAAGGACACCTGACATGAACAAGGACACCTGACATGAGCAAGGACACCTGACATGAACAAGAACACCTGACATGAACAAGGACACCTGACATGAACAAGGACACCTGACATGAACAAGGACACCTGATATGAACAAGGACACCTGACATGAACAAGGACACCTGACATGAACAAGAACACCTGACATGAACAAGGACACCTGACATGAAGAAACGAAATCAGCCTACACGTCTTTTTTGGACTTTGTATTTTTCTCTTCCTCTTTCTCTGTCTCTCTCTCTCTCTCTCTCTCTCTCTCTCTCTCTCTCTTTTTACACAGGGTTTGACAAGGTTAAGGATCCCTAGCTTTATTGACAAGCTATTTACAGGTTAAGGATTCCTAACTTTATTGGCAAGCTAAGAGCTGTTACCTACATCAGCTCATTTGAAAGCATTTTTATTGTTATGAGACATACAAGCAGGGAACAGGATGAAGTTGGAGCCATCTGTGGGCCAGCATTTTCATGTGATCAACTGACTTTATCTCGTTGACATCATTATGCTGTACGAATGTGTTCCATACTCGAGTCATCCTGGGTATGTATGATCTCAGATGGAGTGATGTTCTGGAGAAGGGAGCAGCCAGAGTGAAGTTGCTGCTTTCTGCCCGTCTCTCTCTCTCTCTCTCTCTCTCTCTCTCTTCTCTGCACTGATTCACACGGGTTTACCGCATTGTGCTATATCGTCTCTTCCTCTATGGTAAATATAGCATATCGGGGATTTTCACCCAATCCTC